GGCCCTGGCAGCATTCCCAATCGATTCCAGAAACTCCAATTCCTGGGTTCTGGTGAACGCGACCACCTCTCCAGGCAGTCGGTCATTCTTATAAGGATGCTTACCTGCCAGCAAACTATTACGCCGAGTCATGGCTTTCTGGTCCCTCGGGTCCTTAGGACCACCTGTAAGTAACCCACAAGCCCTGGCGCTCAAACAGGCGCCGCACTCTCGACAAGAGGCGTGGTGGCCAATTCGAGGCAGCATGTGTCGCCTCGGCCCCTCCAAAGGAGCCCCGTCGACACTCGCTATCTTCTTCCACTTGGCGTGCGAGGAGAAACCCTCCCTGCAAAACTTACGCGACAGCACCAGCTTGGCCTTGTAGCAATGGGCCCGTCTGGCACACCATGCACACCTCCAGGACCCCCTGTCCACCTCCAGGACGTGCCGAGACTCGGGAGGAGGCAAAACCGAACGGCGCGGCCGAGGGCCAGGGGGCTGGGAGGCGCTCTGGTGACGGCCTGCTGCGTCATCAATTGTGCCTATCTTACAGGTCATATCTCCGACAAACCCGAAGACAGCACAAACCTCCTTAATTCTGGCCACCCACGTGTCTCTGATATGTGGCGGGATGGCGTCTAGCTTGGCGCCGTCCTTCGCTTGAAGGTCGGCGCTTTGATTCACTAGGTACTTGCACAGCTCGAGTCCCTCGAGCTGTTGGGCATGGATCTTCTTGGAATGCGCTTCGACTTTGACGACGACGAGGACACCCTCCCCAACGAACGAATCTTCAATCGCATTCCAAATTTTATGCCATAAATCGGCATGCGGTCGTCTGGCTGGGCACAAGACTGGGCCTCGCAGGCCACGAACGACGGTAGAATCGTCGATCCCCACCTGTGGAGGGGCAGCGACATGCCGAAGAACATTCAGGAAACCGTGCAATTCTGCTCTAAGCACACTTTGTGCCTGCCTACCTCCTGAAACCGTGCCATGCATTGCTTTGCGCATATTTCCATGCTGGTCGACAAAACAGAGGCCCCCTCCGAACGACTTCGACCCAGAAGCCCCGTCCCCCGACCCATCCGAGTAGGCCAGGCCTGACATGCTGGGCGCGACGTCCAGGAAGGGATCCCCCAGTGGGTGAGGCACGAGAGCCCTAGAAAAGAGACAGGTGCACGAGGAGGAGGCGCGGTAGATGATATCAGGATAGGATTCACTAGCAGCCTGGCGCTGCTGCTGACACGCTGGGCACCCTTGGGAGCCCCAATCGTCAAACCACTCTTGTGCGGCCCTGTCGGCCGCTTCCTGAGGATCAGCAAGCTCGAGGTTGGGAACGGAGTAACCCTCGACGGGGAGAGGAGGAGTACGCCACTTGCTGATCCTGTGGATGAAAGAAGAGCCTGCTGTCGACTCCTTCTTCGAACGTTCTCGCCATTCTTTTGACCGTGCGGCTGCCTGGTGCCGTTCGATGGTCTGAGCATTGGCTTCTGCGCAACGCTGGAGACCCATGATCTCTGGGGGGTGCTCCATGAGCGCTGGGCCCCCGAGACAAAGGGCGCGGTATCGTTCAAACTGGGCGATTACGTGCTCAGCCTCCTCCCCCAGGTCCTGAACCAGCCGACTCCTTCCTCCTCCGATGCGGCGCACGAGCTTTGCTCGTGGCGCACGTGTATGCATCCAGGTGCCCTCCTGCTGGGCAGCTTGCGCGCGGAAATTACTGGCTCGTGCGGCTATCCACCGCCATGCTTCAGCACAGTGTGAGACCTGCTTCCAGAGTTGATCAAACTGGGTGCCCTTTAAATCGTGCTGATGATCGAGGTCTGGCCACTGTGCAGGCTGCGGGATTGGTCCGCACTGCCTCTCGATTGGGAAAGGTCTAGGCTTGGCAGGCCTCCAGCCGCCTTTTGCTCGGATCGTGAACTGCTTGACTAGACGGATTGGCGAATGAGGCGCGGCTGCAGAGTCTAAAACTTCCACCGTGTCACCGAACGCATGCTGGCGGGCGTCGAGCACAACGAAGTCGATGATACTGCCACCGCCGACTCCTGCACACGTGGTAGTGGAGGGGAGACGCACCACTCCTCCCACATCTTGGCACCACCACGTCTTGAGCCGAGACTCCCCCATCTCGTTGAAATCTGCTTGGTATATCCACGGTATGTCATACTGCTTGATGACCGTATCGATGGCCTCCATTGACAAATTTTGAATCGTCCAACTTTCACATGTCCACAAATATGCCGTGGTAAGCATGAGGCCACCCTTCTGTCCAGCAGAGCACCAGCCCACTGCCACGCGCCCAGCCGAGCCAGAAGGTGAGATATCAAACGTATTCATGCCTTCGAGGGTAAGAACAACAATCCTTGGCACGCGAAATCCAACTCCACTAGACGGTGGTCCGCCTGGGCCGCTGACGGCTGGAACCAATGCTGCTGCATGCCTGTTGAAGGCGGCCGCCTCCATGTCCTCGGCGATGGACGCAACCAACTTATGCACCTGAAGGAACGTGATGTGCATGGGGCCCACGATCTTCCTTGTGGGGACCTCGTCCAGCACATCGATACCCTGCGCCCAAGAAGAACAGCTGAAGCCTATGAACTCGAGCCCCACATTGCGAGTGCCGCCGTTGCCTCGGCGACGCGGGGGGCTCATCTTATGTGAACTTGACCATGTAGAGATAGATGTACTGGATGTTGCGTCAGGAGGAGACCCTCTGCCGTGATCTGACTCCTGCGACGTGCTAGACTCCTGCCATGAGTCCGACCATGTAGAGCATTGAGTACTGGTACCTGTGGCCGTGGAGGCCGAGCTGCCGAGCCCGCGCGGGCTACAGCGGCACTGGCTTGGCCACTGCCTCCGCCCTGCGAGCCCTGGCGCGCTGCAAGGCCTCCGCCAGCTCCTTGCCAGCGGCTTCACCACCAGCGTCAGGGCCAGCATCAGCGCTGGCAGCACCTGGCGAAGCGCCCTGGGCACCCTGCACCTCCGCGGCGGGCTGGGCGGCCTGCTGGGCCTCCTGGGTGGGCTGGGCTGGCGCCTGCGGCGGGCCTCCCTCGGGGCTCTGGGCCGCTGGCGCCTCCGCAGCCGCCGCCTCCGCAGGAGGGTCCTCGCGCATGGCCTGGGCAGGCGCCTGCGACGGGCTCCCTTCTGGGGTGTGGGGCGCGGGCGCCTCTGCAGCCGCCGCCGCCGCAGGGGGGGCCTCGCGCCTGCGCTTCTTGAAGGTCTCGCGGAGCACCCTGATCTCTTCAAACTGCTCACGCTGGGACTTGAGGACGTCGGCCCCTGGCCCGAAGTGCGTGCGGACCGCCTGCTGCACCGACGCCTCGAATGTCTGCTTGAGCTTGTTGAACTGCTCCCGCTGCTCGGCCGCGATGTCCAACCCCTCAAGGTCGAAGAGGGGGCCGTCCTCGATGACGAAGCTGGCCTCGCCTTCGCCCAGCAGGGCAGAGAGGTTGATGACCCCGCCGCCCTTGTTGGCCCCCTCGGGCTGGAAGTCCTTGCCTGGAGCTGCCAGAGCCTTCTTCTCCTGAGCCAGCTTGACCTCCGCACCCACCAGGGCGTCAGCTGCGGCATCGGAGCGGGCCTGGCACTCGTCGAGCCAGAGCTTGGCGTCGGCCAGCTGCTTGGCTCGCTTTTCCAGCTCCCGACGTGCAGCCCTCTCCGCTGCGGCCGCCCGCTGGATGCCCTCCTCCAGGAGCGCGGGACGCTCTGCAGGTGCCGGCGGGGCAAAGGCGCTCTCGAGCTGCTGGAGCGCCTGTCGCTGGGCCTCGGAGAGGGCCTGTCCACCAAGGGTCTGCACCACCTCGCTGATCGCGAGCGGCTCGGTCCTCTGCGTGGTCTCCTCGGCTTCGTGGTACCAGTCGGCCTCACCCTTGTGGTTGTCCTGCCACCAGCCTCTGCTGCCGCTAGCCCAGACGCCACGGGGCTTTGGGGCGGGAGAGTACGATGGTCGCAGGGCCTGCCCACAGCTGTAGCACGACTGCTTGGTCTTGTAAGTCCAACGGTATCCACATTTCTTGCATCCCACGTAGTCGGCCGAGAAGGATATCCTTGGAGCTGAGGACTTGCCGCCTCCACGCCTGCGATCCGACATGGCGGCGGGATAGACTGGGACTCTGGACGGCAGCGCGCAGCTCCCCGTACAGGTCTCGAGAGAAGATGTCGGGCTGAACAGCCCTGGCACTCCACATGCACTCGGCCCCTTGGAGCTGAGGACTTGCCGCCTCCACGCCTGCGATCCGACACGGGATAGACTGGGACTCTGGACGGCAGCGCGCAGCTCCCCGTACAGGTCTGAGGAAAATGGCTGAATGAGGATCATCTTGAGATGGCTACGGGGAGGAGGAGGAGGAGGAGAGAGGAGGAGGAGGAGGAGAGGAGGAGGAGGAGGGAGGAGGAGAGAGGAGAGGAGGAGGAGGGAGGAGGAGGAGGAGGGAGGAGGAGGAGGAGGAGGAGGGGAGGGGAGGAGGAGGAGGAGGAGGAGGAGAGAGGAGGAGGAGGAGGAGGAGGAGGAGGAGGAGGAGGAGGAGGAGGAGGAGGAGGGGGAGGGGGAGGAGGAGGAGAGGAGGAGGAGGAGGAGGAGGAGGAGGAGGAGGAGGAGGAGGGGAGGAGGAGGAGGAGGGGAGGAGGAGGAGGAGGAGGAGGAGGAGGAGGAGGAGGAGGAGAGGAGGAGAGGAGGAGGGGAGGAGGAGGAGGTGGAGAGGAGGAGGAGGAGGAGGAGGAGGAGGAGGAGGAGGAGGAGGAGGAGGGAGGAGGAGAAGGGGGAGGAGGAGGAGGAGGAGGAGGAGGAGGAGGAGGAGGAGGAGGGAGGAGGAGGAGGAGGAGGAGGAGGAGGAGGAGGAGGAGGAGGAGGAGGAGGAGGAGGAGGAGGGGAGGAGGAGGAGGAGGAGGAGGAGGAGGAGGAGGAGGAGGAGGAGGAGGAGGAGGAGGAGGGGGAGGAGGAGGAGGAGGAGGAGGAGGAGGGTCACCACACCGTTTGGGGGGGGGAGGGCGGCGGCGAGTCCGCGGAGGCCTCGGGATACACGCTCTTCTGGGAGACGATGTTCGAGCTGCCGACGACCGACGATCCTGAGAACGAGTGCCAGCGCCAACGTGTGGTCGTCCACCGAGGCCCTTCGCGGCGACGCAGGTGCAGCGAGGGCCCCTGCCATCGGTGGAACTGCGCGGGGCAGCATACGCACTGGGATACAAGCAGAAAAAAATACATAAACATAACCTTTCGACGGTCCGCGCGGTTTTCTTGGATCTGCGCTGGGCCCCCCTGCCTGGCGCGCGGAGCGCGCCAGGGGCGACGCCAGAGGCGCTGCCAGGGCGGTCTGGCACAGATCCAAGCATTCCGCGCGGGCCGTCGCAGGTTTGTGTCCATGTCGCCTGTTCCTATTCGATGGTCGGCGACTCCGAAGGGTGTGGATTGCAAAGGGGAGGGGGTTGCTACCGGCGCCCTGAAGGGCACCCTGGTGGCCGGGCGGGGACCTCGACGGAGCTCTTCGCCGCGCCCCGAGGAGGCCCAGCGAGGACAGAGTCGTGCTCCCCGGGCCCGGCATCACCGTACCCGGTTCTGGTCGCCGACGTTAGGCAAGCGCGTTCCGCTACTCGCAGAGTCACTGCTCGCAGATGGCCCCGATCGGCCGCGAAGGATTCACGATAGGATTACATCGAGGGGATCGTGCGACTGCTGGACGCTTGCGAGCAGGCACTCTGCGAGCAGTGGAGCGCGCTCGGCGAGACATGACGAACGAACAACACACACCCATACCCATAGGGAGGTCGCTGGGAGGAGGACTGGCTATGGGTATGGGTGCGGGTTGTCGGACCCTGGGGAACGCTCCCGTTCGAGCGGGGACCCCTATCCGACAACACGCACCCATAGCCCTCTCCGATCCCCCTATGGGTACATGTGTGTTTGTTGGTTCGTCAAGACATGGGCTGACACGCGTCCCGAGGATCCCCGAGATGACGGGGACCCGCTGGCGGTGCAGCGGCACGGAGAAGCGGCCCCCGGGGGGCATCGCCCCGGAGGCCGCGGCGGGCAGGGCGCCGGCGTGCAGCAGCGCGGCCGCGCCCAGCAGGGCGCGGAGCGCGGCGGCCATGGCGCCCAGCAGGGCGGCCGCGAGCTGTGCCGGGAGGGCGCCCGCTGCGCACCCGGCAGGGGTCCATGCCAGGCCCCTCCTGGGCCCAGTCGCGAATTTTTCGCGACAGTTTCTGGTCCCCGGGCGTCCCTCCCAGGACACGGGCGAGGGGGGCAGCTTCTCTGGAGAATGTGTACTGGGAAGCCGTCACTATCGCGAATTTTCGGAGGAAAGATCTCAGGAGAAGTCGGGAAACCGTCTGGCGACCCTTTTGTCGCACCTTCTGTGCATCTCCCCGCGAGAGAGCTGCCTGCAGGAAGGCACGACCGACCTGAGAGTGGGGGAGCGGAGAATGACATAGACATAAAAGCTCCGAGGTCCGCGCGGATTTCTCGGATCGGCGCTGGGGCCCCCTGGCGGCGCCTCCGACGCCGCCCCTGGCGCGCTCCGCGCGCCAGTGAGGGGGGTCCAGCACCGATCCGAGAAATCCGCGCGGACCTCCGAGTTTTTGTGTGTGTGTCATTCTTCGTTCCCCTATCCTGGGCCCTGCACACCCCGACCCCCAAGGCTTTATGAAAAAATCGCGACGGGAGTCGGGGGGAAGGGGTCGAGAGTCTGTGGGTCGACGATGTATGTATATATATATATATATATATATATATGTATGAAGAAAAAACAAAAAAAAAAAAAACAAAAAAAAAAAAAAAAAAAAAAAAAAAAAAAAAAAAAAAAAAAAAAAAAAAAAAAAAAAAAAAAAAAAAAAAAAAAAAAAAAAAAAAAAAACGTCGGGCATATGGGTGCGCACCGACGGCGGGTGCAGGATCGGCACAGCCTGGATCGGTGTGGGTGTATGGCTGGCGCCCTCTGACTGTAAGCGCGCGGTGGTATTTCCGCCTCCTCCGCGCGGGCGCAGCCACTCTTGGACTATTCGAGCCGGAGGCGCGATCGCGACCATGGGCATCGGGGCTCTTGGCGATGATGGCGGCGACACTCACGACTGGGATGCCAGAGCTCCGGCACCCAGGCACGCGGCTGGCTGAAGACCTGACCTGCCCGAGAACCGCCGACCCTGTCGGCGTGTGAGAGACGCTTTTCCCTTTGAGTTGTCGTCGTCGTCGTCGTCGGCATCGCCACTCTCCCCTTTCCCTAAGCCGTCAGTGATCCAGCCCGATGGAAATCGAACAACGTCGCAATCGAGACAAAGGAAAACCCCTCCCGTCCCTTGAATCCCTTCCCCGCCGAGGGGGGGCGGTCCTGGGAGGGGTCCTGGGGGGGGTCCTGGGAAGGGTCCCGGGGGGGGATCCAGCGACCAATCGGTCATCTTCACAAGTTCGATTATTATACACACTATGTGTCCGTCAAGAGCGATCCCAGCAAGTGGTCCGAATTAAATTTAGTTGGTGTTCAAAGAATTGCAGCGCCATACCATTCCGAATCTTCCGCGTGCGGAAAAATGGCCGTGCGGTGCCGTGCCGTGCCGCACGCTTGCAGCGTCTTGCCCTGCAATGCATCTCGGAGTTCCGATTGCGAATAAGTGGACATACCTTGCCGTGCCCCTGAAATTCACGCACGCGTGCCATGTCTTGCTGCGCCGTGCCACGTCTGATTTTCCAAATGCGGATGCCATACCGTGCCGTTCCGCGCCATGGCATGCAGGGTTCTCAGAATGCGATGAGAGTGCCGCTGGCGCGCCGTGCCGTGCCGTGTGGAAAAACCGTACCTTGCCGTGCCTGGTTTTCCGAATGCGAGAAAGTTGCAGCGCCGTGCCGCGCCTGGTTTCAACATGCGGACGAAGGTTAGTGCCATGCCGTGCCGTGCCAAGCTTCCAGAATGCGAAAATGTTCGCGCCGTGCCGTGTCAGTCCGTGTCGGGTTTTCAGAACGCGAAAGCTGTACCTGGTTGTCAGGATCCAGAGAAATGCCGCGCCATGCCGTGTCGTGTCTGGTTGTCAGAGTACGGAGGCACGAACGCGAAAAAATGGCCGCCCACGTGCCGTGCCGTGCCGTGCAAATGTGGAAAAATTGCCGCTCACCTGCCTTCCCATGCGGCGCCTGGTTTTCAGAATGAGGAAACATGCCACCCCGCGTTCCGTACCGTGCCGTGCCGCGCCCGATTCCCCAAACAGCGTTTGTACTAAGAGGTTGTTACTTCTGTAGAGGTTGTTACTTCTGTTCTTAGGAACTGGGCCTGTCCGCTGGTCCGGCGGGTATGTTGTCGCCTCGCCGCCCCGTCGCCGCCTCGTCGCCACCCGTTGTCTGGGCCTGTCTCGTCGCCGCCCCGTCGCCGCCTCGTCGCCACCCGTATGTATGCTCTTCTATAACAGAATATGATCGACCCCCCTTCCCTCCTGGAATTCACGGCCCCCTTTTTTTCGTGTTGCGAATTACATTGCATATGATGTTGCCCCATCGTCCATCCAAAATATGAATTCGACCCGCCCCTCATCCTCTGCAAGAGAACTATGCGCTCACACTTGTTTATCAAAATCACAAGCCTTCTAGAACTGCAAAGAAATTCGACGAAGTGCACGCACGCGAGTCGTCGCGCCCGCATGCCCAAATCTGTCACAAACTTTAGGTTGCGCGGGGATTTCAATATCGACTGTCTCGAAGACACAAAAATAAAACAACAACAACAACAACAACAACAACAACAATCATTTTACCCGAACGCTCAGTGTTCTCCCCAGTGCCAGGGTTTTCTTGCGACACCAGCCAATACCCCCACTTCGTGGGGGGGCCGTTCAAGCTCTGCCAAATATCCAAACGACTCTTCGAGACCACCCACACCCAGCTTCCCGCCCTATGACGTTGGGACACTTCACTTCGTGGCGTGCGGACGACCCTGGCTACTACACTGGCGTGGGGTACACACCCACAGAGGTTGATCATATCTGTTACATATGATGTGGTACACGGTACACGTGAGATGGTACGCAGTGCCAAGATAGTTGGTCACATTTTTGGGGCAAATTCGTGGGGATGCGATTACAGAAGTACATGTGTTACACTGATGTTATACAGTCCCAAGGATGACGCATGCATTGCTCATAGACTCATGGCGCTATGATCCTAACTCTCAGTGCCCAACGCGCGCGTGCACAGCCAGACGGAGGGAGAGAAACACATGTATACAAGGTTCGTGACATACGCACGGTCCACCATGTTGTAAACGATCGCATGCACGGTAAGTTCTGAAATTATACGTATGTACAAGCAGACATGCGAGGGAGAAAGGGAGATGGCCATCGACAGTTCCAATACGGCTCCAAGGCGGAAGAGGGGGAGGAGGAGCAGGACAAGGAGGAAAGGAGAGAAGCGAGAAAGGAAGAACGCAGACGGCGCGGCTCTGGACACAAAGGGGTGCCATACTTTCTCCTGCTTGGGAACCTCTTGGGGGCCTCTTGGAGTCCTCTTGAAGCCTCTTGGGACCATCTTGGGCGCCTCTTTGGGCCTCATGGACGCCTCTTGGGGCCATCTTGCGCGCCTGTTGGGGCCATCTTGGGTTTTAAAGATTCATCAAGAGACCGCGAATGGATTTCGAGATTTTTCGGATGAGAAAGTAGTGCGTTTTCATATGTTTTCTGAACATCGCATCTTGAAATTATTGAAAACCCATTGTGTTTGGCAGGATTTCGACATGCGCGCGCGGCGGCCGCGCGCATGTGCACTTCGTCTCATTTGTTGCAAGGGATGGTGGCCCTCGCAGGCGCGCAACCGTTGTTGGAGAAGTTCAAAGCACCTGAAGAAGTAGCACGCAAAGACCCTTTTGACAGAAATGTTTAAAAAGTGGTGTGTTTCCTATGAATCCGCAAGAGCGCGCGGAAGGACATTTTGACAATTGTTTCTTAAAAAACCATTGGGTTTTTGATGTTTTTATGTTAAAATCGTTACGAAACCTAAGGTTTTGGAAGGATTTCGTCTTGCGCGCACGAATGTCCACTTTACCTTATTTTTTGCAAGGGATTCTTGCAATTTGATCAAGTAAAAACAAGAATTTTCATTTTCTATTGTTTTTTGCAAGGGAAAACGAGCGTCAACAAAAAACCGGATCCGGAGCTCATCCACTTTTCTGAAGCTTTCGCGAAAAAACGATGAAAATGTAGCTGCGGCCTAGGCGCGGCGCAGAGGTCGCGCACCAGGGGTCCCAACAATAATAATTCTTTAGAAGGAATAATGTTCAACAACAACAACAACAACAACAACAGCAACAGCAACAGCAACAGCAGCAACAACAGCAAACCATGCTTTCGCAACAAATAATGTCAAACAAAATGTGCGCTCGGGCTTTTGCGAATTCCCAAGAAAGCATTAGATTGTTTATGGTTTTCACTAGTTGTTACCAAACGGGCCTTTTCGCGCGCATGTCGGAATCGCTCGAACGCCCTTTGCGCGCGCTGTCGCGAGAACCTTTGGCACAAAAACAAAAAATAAGTGCACGCGCGCGCGTCGTCACGCCCGCGTGCCGCAGGTTTGGTAAGGGCTTCAATATCAAGTGTCCCGAAAGAATATAGAAGTATATGGTTTTGCGACATCAGTTTTCAAAAATGCCCGCGCTCGAACTCCTGCGAGCTGTACTGCAAAAACCGTAGGTTTACAACGTGTCCATGAACTTCTGCCAATCAGACCCGTCGCGCCGCACGCCGAAACCTTTCGAACGCACTTGCGCGCGTGCTGTGGGGGCATGATCCGCGTCGAATAATACCATGCGGGCCAATCGCGCGTCGGCGTTGCGCGCGTGTCAAGTTCCTTCCAAAACCTCTATCACCGACGCGAGGGCGCCGTCATCGTCGCTGGCATAGTTAATCAGCATCAACGCCATCACTGGCCTCGCCGTCGTCGTTGTCATGATCGTCGCCAGCATAGCTACTATCATCATCGCGTCTACCATTGTCGACATTGATATGATACAGCGCCCACCCGAGTCGCCGACTCGCCCCGAAGTGCCCGTCGGGAAGTGCCCAGCGGTCAGCGCCACCGCGGCCGCGTCGGTCGCGCCGAACGAGCTGGCCGCTGCGCGCGCGACAATGCGCGGGCCAGCGCGGCCGCAGAGATGCACCAGTCAACTCCAAGCACTCATCGCAATCGCCACCACATGGGTTCTGCAAACCAAGTTGCGGGGAGGTGGGTGGGATGACTGCGCGAGCAGTGGAGTAGACAACTCAATGCGAACAGAAGTGAACTGCACCACCACCACATAGATTGCACAACATAGACTGCACAACATGGATTGCACCGCGTAGATTGCACAACATAGATTGCACCAGTAAATTGCGCCGCATATACTGCACCACGCCGATTACAACATAAAGACTGCACCACATAGGTGGCACAACATATTCCCCAATCAGAGCTTGCCTCTGTAGGGGTCCTGGCGGATTCATATGGTTAGGTAAAATGTGACGCCGATTTCGGTGGCGGGCCTGAGTGCCTGGGTGCCCGGGTGCCCGGGTGCCTGGGTGGTGCCCAGAGTGCCCGGGTGCCCGGGTGCCCGGGTGCCCGGGTGCCCGGTGCCAGGGTGCCCAGGTGCCCATTAGCCCTATAACCCTTTAGCCCTATAGCCTTATAGCCCAATAGCCCTATAGCCTTATAACTCTATAGACCTATAGCCCTATAGCCCTATAGCCCTATAGCCGTAATAGCCCTGTACCCCATATAGCCCAATAGCCCTATAGCCCTACAGCCCTATAGCCTTATAGCCAAATAGCCCTATAGCCCTGTAGCCCTATAGCCTTATAGCCCTATAGCCCTATAGCCCGAAAGCCCTATAGCCCAAGAGCCCTATAGCCCAAGAGCCCTATAGCCCCATAGCCTCATAGCCCTATAGCCCGATAGCCCTATAGTCCTGTTTCTCTTTCGCCTCATAGCCCTATAGCCCGAAAAAAATATGATCGGGACTTGTTTCTTATCAGATTCTCCTTTCTAAAAAGACAATAGGTTCTACCACCTTCCCCCCCCCCCCCCGGGTTTAACGATCCCGCGGGAACCGACGCAAAACACATAGGATTCTGACCCCATGTCCATCCTACCTGTGAATTCATACTATCCCAGCCAAACCAGTATCGGCAACCCCCGCCATCATCTGCAAAAA